ATCTCCAACTCTACGCCTCCATCCGCACAGCTGCATCTCCGGTGAGAACTCTACGCTCGTACAATTGAAGGCGGAGACTGGAGGCGGAGTCACTCGAAAAAGGAGGCGTTACTGAACCTATGTTGCGCTATAGCCGCCCTCCCTTACAATTTTTTTTGCCGCGAAACCGTTACAAGGTTGTTCTTAGCTTTGCCCTCCCGACGTCATATTCTCTGCTTCTATACCTGATCTCAGACCGTGCCTCTAATGTAAAAGTACAGTCACGATCCCTACAGTTGATCGAGCCTGACGGGGGCATGGCTTGGAGCGCAGCCTGATGAGATTTCCCAGCAGTTGTAGTGCGCTCAGGATGCCATCATCAGAAGATAAGGAGGCACCCTGGCTGCACCCCAATACTCGCCGCGTCTCACATCTTATTGTCTGTAGGAATGATGACTGTAATCCAATAGCCCTTTGAATTTGTGATAAATTTCTAGATGTGATGTCTGGTGTGAACCGTCATTAGTTGATTCGGCGAAGTGGGAGTTTGAATCGACTGAACAGATTCTACAAACGGCAGAAAAAATAGCAGGTCCATATCGATGGGGAAGGTGAGCCGTTCGAAATTTATTTCCACTTGAACATTGTTCACCCGCAAGCGTGAACCAATAGACGTGGTGCTGGAATCACGTACTACATTCTTGCAATGATTTCCATCCGGGGTCGATTCCTGGACCGAGAGCAGCACCTCCTGCCATTGGCATCATAAAGATCCTAGAGAAACCTATGTATCACAGCAGATGTCTCACGGTAATATATTGCAGATATGACCTCGTCGTTTTACCACCTACGTTCCCCTTTGGTGGAATGGAGAATCCATGCCTGACTTTTATCACGCCCACGTTACTGGTATGATTTTTCGGAAATCTGTAGCGTTCAGGAACACCCAAGTTGTTCAGTTATCAAGTTTCTTGTTCAGACTGGCGATCGTTCTCAGGTCAGAGTTGTAGCACACGAAATCGCTCATAGTTGGACCGGGAACCTTGTTACAAATGCCAGCTGGGAACATTTCTGGTAAGTACCCGATTGAGCTCCCAGTCTGTCTCAGACAGACTGCAAATCTTGAAGAAGTGTGAAATGAAAAATGTCTTTGGAGAAAACTTCCAAATACAAAAGTTAGATAAATAAATATGCTCATGGTTTCGGAACGTATAGTAAAAAGAGTAGCCATCTGTCTGAGCAGTCGAAGTATGAAATCATTCGCTTCGAAGGTCTCTCTAGAGTGGACTCTATAAGACCCCTGTCAAAAATTCCGCTCGTTTCCCAGAAGAATCCCTCCGAGCATTATTATCAGGAATATCATCGATAGTGGCACTCTTATCGCTTCGGTCATAAATATAGTTAAGATTAAGCGGCTGCAGTTATACATGGAGCTTAGCTTACGAATCAAGTTATACCTGATAGTGATGATATTCCT